TTGTGCTGACACCCAGGCAAGCAAAAGTCATTTCAATCTTAAACTTGGCAAAACCAGGCCTGATCTGCACCACTGCTGTAGCTGCCCACTCTCAAGAGCTGATGAAATATTTTAAATTTCACTTGATGGAGTTTGTACTTTGTTAAATCCTGTGTAATATTTATTTAGCCATAGTCTATAATGTTTACACAGGAAGCTATTCTGGGAAATGCTGATTTTTTTTTTCTTTCTGACTGGATGAAATGAATTATATTTATCAGGAATTCAGAGAAGGAGGAATGTTTGGCAGCCTGTTTTCTCAGATATAAATAAAGCGTTAACCAAGACAACATGCCTAAATTTGGGTATGTTTAAAAGAGGTACGAAGGAGAGAAAGCTTTTTATTTAACACCACACAGATCCTTTCATGTGAAAAGGATCATGGAATGGTTTGGGTTCAAAGGGATCTTAAAGCTCATCTTGTTTCATCCCCTGCCAGGGCAGGGACACTTTCCACCAGCCAGGGTGCTCCAAGCCCCATCCAGGCAGGCCTTGGATATGGAGGAAGGAAGGATGTTGGAAATATCATGTCAGAGAATCACAGAGCAGCAGGTGTTGCACCTCCAGCTCTTTGGGAAGGGCTGGAATTTCAGGATAGAGCTCTGTAAATGTAAATTCACAGCTGTGAGACCCTAAACTGGGGTTTGGCTTGTCCTGCAACGTGTTGGAAGTCTGATATCCAGGGAGATGTGTTTCTATGAGGACCTTTAGGAGAAGCTGGATCTGGTGTGGTGAGGAAAACCTGATGTTCCTGTGAGAACCACAGTGGCTCCACAGGCTCATGCATCCTGCTGAACTTCATGCACTTAAGAAAAGAGACAGAAGGAACCACGAGGCTTTGTGCCACTAAAAGGAGAATTCCTTAAGCTATGGAATGTTTACTTTTCTGAAGGGATGGGTTTCTGGATGTGCTGCTGGGATTGCAGTTCTCCTGGTGAAAACGGAAGGAGGGGCTGCTCTGAGTCAGCCCAGCCCAGGGAGAAGAGGCTTGGGGGCAAATGTATTAGAGCACTGCAGGTGGAGAGAGGGACTTGTCCTTCTGTACCCTGTTTTCCTGGACTCCTCTAATTCCTGCTCAGCAGGTTTAGGGGAGGTAGTGTGATTTACTCTGGGTGTGCAGAAACAACAAAACTCTCAGGAGCTCCAATAACAACTTTTACTTGCCAACGTTGGAACAGCCTGACAAAATAAGGCATGTGGCAAACTTTAACTCCTCCAGACACAACAGTGGATTTACCAAAGCATTGACTGGAATTTTTTGGCCTGACTTCCAGAACATTTTGAGAAGAACAATGTAGAACTGGACACAGCATAGGCTTGTTCTCTTGTTCTCTGTCATCAAGCAAAAGATGAAATAGAATCAAATTCCAGAAAAGATACATAAATTTTTTGTGAAGCAAGTAGAGAGTAAAGAAAATAACAGCCTGACCAGTGGGCAGCCCAGGGCAGGTACACAGAAGTGCCCTTGGCCACCTGGGCACTTGCTGGCTTCATGTTCTTCCCACTTAATTGCTTTAAACCAACTGTTCCTCCAGTCCCCAACATCCTCCTACTCTCCCATAAATCAGTCTGATGGCAAACTGTTTATCCTAATGTTTTAGGCTGAACCCAGCCTTTCCTCTTTCCAGTAGCCTGTGCTGTGAGATTAAAAGTATAACTTCCTGCAGGAGAGTGCTGAGGGGGGGTCCAGGAGCAGCCTGCACTAGCCTGAGACACAGCAGTTGCCAAAAGCCAGGTCACACAGCTCTGCAGCAAAATTCAACAATCATAACCTCTGCAGGGGGGTTTTAGTGACAGGGAATCTATAAATGCCAGAAGAACAGGGCAGTTTAAAGAGCTGGTGTGTTGAATTGAGCTGGGAGGGTAAAGCAGAGCAAGGAAAGGCAGGTTTGCCCAGACAGCACGTCTGTGTTTTCAGACAGCTCAATGTGTTTTCTTGCCACATCAGTGTGGTTTAAACACAACCCTGTGCCTGGAGCAGTGGTTCTGGTGGTCGTGCTGGAGCTGGCAGTAAACAGCCCTGTGGCAGGAATGTGAGGAAGATCAGGAAGCAGCTCAGGATGCAGTTATCAAGATATATGTGCTCTTAGGAGGCTTGCTTCTCTTCACAAATTAAACTGGGACTGCAAAGTGTGATTTATCGGGACTTTGGAGAACGGGTGCTGAGGGGATCATGCTGTTTCTGCAATTAGGCTTTAATAAATAATAATAATAATAATGAGGCTTTATTTTTGAGCCAAGAAAAATCTCTCTACCATAGGCTTGTTCTCTGTCATCAAGCAAAAGATGAAACAGAATCCAATTCCAGAAAAGACACATAAATTTTTTGTGAAGCAAGTAGAGAGTAAAGAAAATAATATTGAATTAAGCAGAAGACTGGACAATTCTTGGGTTTGACTATTGTTTTCCTATTTTTCAGGCCAATACAACTGAATTTTCCCAGAAATCTTTTACACAGAACTTCAGATGGATCAGCTCTTTGTGCAAAGCAGTCTTTGTCTGAAAGTAACACAGACATTTTTTTAAAAAAGCCCTAATTATAAGAGAATTTATATTTATTGCAACAAAAGTCGAGTCTCCTTTGGGATGGACTTGGAGTAATGGATGGTTGGGTCTTCTAATTTATCTAAGTCGTGCAGCATTAGAAAAGCAAATTCAACATATTTACACATGAAGATCTGTGGTCATTTTTTAGAGGGCTGACGTGATCATACATCAAAGGGACTTGACCTTTGGAGCTCCCTGCCTATCTATCAGTGGGAACCAATGTCTGCTTCCTTTGGAGACCAGGGAAGGGAATGCAGCATGGAAAGGGAAAGGGAATATAAAAACCCTGGAAAGAAGAACAGGATTTTTAAAATTTTATTTAGAGTTATCATTTTTTGCTCTCAGCATGCTTTGATTATAAACTTGATAAACAGCAATGAGTCAGAGTGCAGAGGAACAAACATCAATTCTCTTGCCTTTTAAAGGAGGTCAGGAACTGAATGCACTCGATGTGTTTGGTTTTAATTCCCCTCATCCCTCTGATGATATAGATTATATTATTCTCCCCATAAACCGGGCTGTTCACATCCTAGTTTCCAGTTCCTCCCACACTGGCCACCATGAAATGAGGGCTTGGCTGTGAACCCTCAGATAACTGATGCCAGATTTACATTTCCTTCCTAAGGACTCGACAGAAACATCGTGGGATTTGACAGGAAACAATCCCTTGTTCTGCAAAAGGTGCCCTTTCCAACTCATTTTCAGTACATCCCAAGTATTTAGGTCTGCACTGGTTAAAATCTTTGAGAATTTTGTCTTAAACAGAGGCAGAATTGGCACCCAAGGTTCTGTTTAGCTGTTGGAGACCAGCAGATACTAAAGGAGTAATCCCTAAGGTGTCACCCATATTTAACATGGCAAAGCTTAGGTAAATGTACATTTTCCTCCCTAAAGGTAAGGTATTAATGGCATTTTTAACTGATGTGAGATGTATTCTCTAGGCACAATCAGTTTTCAGAACCCTCTAAAGCAGCTAAGGGCAAGTCCATTGCTGGGCAAGAAAATCCCCCAAACTGCTTGGGAAAAGCAGAAAGCATGTTTTAAATCAAAATGAAGTTATTGGTTTATAAATTAATCACTTAAGAACTGTAGACCATGGAAGCACATATAAACTTAACAAATGTAGAGCAGTGCTGGATGTTTCTGTGATGTGCTGCTGCTTTACTAGAACTTAGCTTGGTACAAGGGCTACTAGAGCTTGGTACAATGGCTGTGCTATGTGAAAAATGGATTTGTAGAAAACGTTTATAATTTGATAGCAGAAGGATACACTTATCATGTATTAGAATTAAGAAATAATTAGCTTCTAATAATAATAATAATATAAATTATAACATCTGTATTATCTCATCCTTCACATAAAACTAAAAATAAAATAAAAAGTTTTTAAACACCTCTCAGTTACCCCATCTCTAAACAAAAAAAAAGAGTTAGTCCAACAGTGCTACTGCAGCTGGACTTGGGTGAGGCTTGACACCTGTTAGTGCCTCCAAAAACTTGGAGGGGGGCAAAAAAAAGGTCAACAGTAAAGAATTTATCCTATTTTTGGGGTGTTTGTTGCAAGGAAGGGGGTGGGAGGAACAGATTCCTTGTGGAAAGGATGCTCTGATTTTTCTCCTTCACCCCTGTGCATTTAACTGACCATGGGCAGCTGTTCACTTCCCTGTGCCTCTGCAGTGTGATGTGAGGCAGATTTTGATTATTTTTATATGGACTTAGAGAAATATTGATGGATTAACATGCTAGTTCTTAGGTTTCTCTTCCCTGCTCTTGACACACACAGGCAGCGGCTTGCAAAGGGGTGGGAGAAGAGGATTTTGCTTCTTTAGTTTTATTGGATATTAGGAAAAATTAATTATTTTAGCCCACTCTAAGGGCTGTCAAGCATTGCAACAGGCTGCCCAGTTAAGTGGTAGAGTCACCATCCCTGGAAATGTTAAAAAATGCGTGGATGTGGCACTTGGGGACATGGTTAGGGGTGGCCTTGGCAGTGCTGGGTTAATGCTTGGACTTGACGATTTTAGAGGGCTTTGCCAACCTTCGTGAATTCTACTCCAGACATAAGGCAGCTCACCACTCTTGAAATCAGGACTGAAAAGCTGATTAACAAAATTTCCTTGCTGATCATGCCTAGGTCAAATTCCCTGGAACCCAGGGCAAATTCTCCACAGGCAGCTTCCACATCTGCCACACACATTGGAGAATGTATGGACAGCACAAACCCATTCAGCAGAAGACAAATTGTGCTACTCCTGTGCCATTTATCATTTCAGCTGAGCTCTGGATTCCTCGGAGACTCCTTTTAAAATAGGAGGAATCACAGAAATTAATTTCTTCTCTTGGGCTGAATGATAAAAGCCTGAAGAACAAACAGAGTGTGGCATTTTGTGCTGTGGAGGCACAGCCCCACTTACCATGCCCAGAAATATCATCTCCTCCTCTCTCAGCCTCTCTGTTTCCTTGCGCTGCCTGTGCCCACGCCAGACCTGTGTTGCAAACAAAACTCTGCTCAGACAAATGGGCCTTGGTACAGCTTCCTCTTCTGGGGCAGACACAGGAAAAAACAAATAGAGGAAGGAAAGGCACAATACACCATTGAAACTATTGCTTTTTAACAGGTTGCCATCTGCTATTCTTTTTTTTTTTTAACAAATTTTGAGGTTTGTTATCCCCTCATGATGCTCTGGGTGGCTTCTAAAAACTGTCACTGCTTCATGAAGTTCAGACATAAGATTTAGGCTGAGCTCCTGCTCTCAACAGGCTGAATTGTCTGAATTATTCATGTGCAAGAACTCTTTGTGGAATTTAGCACTGACCTCCCTCTGTCCTTTTTTCCAGATATGGGATGAACTCTTCCCCTGGAGATCACAGAAAAAGGCATGGATTCAGAGATGCACTGAATTCCAAGGGGAGGCCAGAAAGAGCAAATGAGGTCATAAAAATCAGAATGGAAAAACAACGTGTAAGTTACAAAGTCATCCTGCATTGCCAGTGCAGGACTGGTTCCACTGATCTTACATCTGGGGGGTCCTGTCTCATTTTTTTAATTTTAAATGATATATTTCACCTTGCTGGACACCCTAAAAAGGATCATTTCAGAAAGCTCTCCATCATATGAGCTGTGTTTCTGCCTACAGCTGCTCTCCTGACCAAAACATTGTCATGTGGCTTTGCTAGAATTGTTGCTACACAAGAAACTCACCTTTTGAATGCAAGTGGCAGCTTCATCTGGACTCTTAGTCTGTTGCTCCTGTGTTCTACTTTGCCTTTTCTCTTCAAGGTAAATTCTCCTCATGAAGGCGGCTCGAGCGCGGCCCTGGCGAGCCCGTTCTGCCACCTGGATCACTCCAATGGCCTCCTCGAGTGTCATGGCCGTGACAACTTCCTTCAGCAGCACAGCCAAAAAAAGGGAATCAGCAAAGCAAAGTTATGTTTTGTAAATTGCCTGCCTCAGTTAGAAAATGGTATCTTAGCAAACAAAGAGCAGAGACTCCTGTTGATGTGTGAAGTGGAAAAGCTGCTCTGCTGGGAAGCCACAGTGGCTCATGCAGCCTTGCTGAACTTGATCCATTTGAGCAGAAAGACACAACCATGGGGCTTTGTCCTTCCAAAAGGAGAGTTTCTTAGGCTGTGGAATGTTTTCCTTCCCTTTTCTGAAGGGAGGGTTTCTGGAGGTGCTGCTGGGATCACAGTTCTTTAGCTGAAAATGGAAGGAGGGGCTGCTCTGAGTCAGAGGGGAAAAATGGATCAGAAGAGAAGGGACTCCCCCTTCTCACTCCTGAGACCCCTCATGCTCCCCATGGAAAAGCTGAATTGGTGTTTCTTGATGTTCATCTCCCAGCTGGAGGCAGCTCACATTTAATTATTATATTTATATTGTGTAGCACTTACTTTCAGCAGGGCTTTCTAGGACACAATTACACAGACTAGATTTCCTGAACAGAATCCCATAAACCATGTGCAGAGCAGATTCCCGAGATGAACTCTGCTGGTTTTGATTTATGTTGGAGTGCTCCTAACAGCAGTGCCACGGACATGGAGAGCTCCAGTTGGTTACACAGCAGCCAGGATTTCCTGAGAGGATGAGGTGCAGAGGTGCTGACAGCCCTGCAGCAATCCCAGCGGTGAGTGAGCTGGAAGTGCAGCACAGGACACTGGGTTTGCACTGGGTGAGGTGATTTTATTGCTGTTTGTTGAATCCCCTGGCTCCCTGCAGCAGCCTGGAGCCTGCCAGAGCCTGGTGCTCTGCCTCAGCTGGCTGCTCACTAGACAACCTCATCCCTAATGGGTGCCACACTGGAAAGGGGCAAGAGCAGAATTCTGGGAAGCAAAAAGGCTCCAGGATAAACTGTGCTGAAACAGGATCTCCCCAGAGCAACAGCAGGAGAGCAGAGAACTCCATCAGGGGAGCTCTGCAGCTGCCCAACAAAGCCTCTCCCCAGCAGGGAAGCCTGTGCTCTGTCTCTGCAGCCTGCCTGGGGCTGCTTCCATCCCTGGGGACTTTCCCTCTGTTGTTTTGTGGGACCAACAGGCACAATCACTGCTGGGGAAATCAGGGCAGCAGTGTGACTAAGTGGGCCATCAGCACTGTCTCTTATGGCTACAACACCCACGAATCCAAGTTATCCAGGCATGTAGGCACAGTTGTTTACTTCAGGGGTCAACATGCCACTCCCAAAAGGTCAAAAGTATATCAAACCCAGAACAGCCTTCACTGCAGTGCTTATGTATTTGTCTGTAATGACTTTTGCTCTGCCAAAACTCAGTTTTCTACTCCTCCCAGCAGCTGCAGCTCTGTAGCTGCACAGGGGAAACTGCACTCATTGTTCAGAGGTTACAAACAAGTGAATGCCAGCAGTTGTGCTGACCTGAACTCCGAGTTCTGCCTGCTCCAGTGAGGAATCCTGGGCCAGGACAGCTTGGTTTCAGTAGTGATGCTTCAGGTTTTAGCTTTTATATTTTTCAGATTCTGTGCTGCTTTAGTGGGTACACTGCTTTAATCTGAGTTTCATATTAGGGCATGGTGAGCTCTCCTCACAGAGTAGGGAGACAAAACAATTCCTGCTCTAGCTGGGAACCAAGGACAAATGATCCAAATCTCAGGCCCAAGAGCACAAACAACATGGACTGAAGAGAGAAAAACAAGAAGGATGGGACTTCATAACCTAAAGCTGTAACGGGACAATTAACTCCAATATGCAAATGGACCAGAACTTACAAAATTTAGAGACCCTGTGAGCAGTTGTCGTTTTTTGTGACCATTTTGGGTTGATCTTGGGTGCAGCCCTGGCTGGGCTCTTGTGCTGCCCAAGGTGGATCCTTCTAATAAATCCCTGCTTTATTCTTTAGCTCTGTCTAGTCTTTGTTCTATGCCAGCATTCTCAAGGCATCAGTGGGACTAATTACAAGATGAGAGTTAGTTAGACAAATAAAGCACTGACTTGGCCAAAGTGCTGCTCTTTCTGACACTCTCACACACAGAAAGCAGAGCAGAATCATTCCAGTCTTACCCAGCCTTGAGATGTGACTGGATGTTGTTTGACAGGGAAATCTAAGGTTTCTTTCTGCTTGTGCCTTATCTGTAAACACACTTTTACTTCCTCACTGCTGTAAAAGCACTTCTCACCTCAGTGTCTCATGCTCAGACACATGTGGCTGTGAACTAAACAAACCAAGCACAATATGTAGGTATGGGGTACATTTACCTGTTCTATCAAACCAGCATTCAGCAAAATCTCATGCAGGTATTTCTCCCTGTACTGCAGGATTCCCAGGTTTTCTTGAATGAAATACTTTGGGATGGGTATTTCTATGTCTTCCTGGAGGAAGAAAGTCACAAGATGCTTTTTAGGACTGTATTTAAATCACATTACTGATTAATTGAACACCTCTACAAAGCAATAAAATAAGGACAGAGGTTGTTGAGTATTTTTTTGAGTATTGGGGAATTTGACCTTTGTAACAGCTGCTGTTATTTTTCAATTACTTTAGACCTAATTCAACAAAAACAAATAAATCAACCCAGTCTGTGAACCATGTGAGCCCAGAAATCTTTCTTCTTATAATGTCTCAATTATATTATCAAATTGCTAAAATATTTGGCAGGGCTGCTAGAAATTTAAACATGATTTCCACTGAGCTGAATACCTATGGTTGTGTGATCATCCCACTTCTTGTTTTAATCAACATGAAAAATAGATCTGTTCTCTTGCCATTTTTTTTTATCATTATAAGGAACTAAAGCATAATTCTACAGTTTTTTTATAGATATTTTGAGCTGTAGACAGACTGTCTGCCTGTGACTGTGGTATCTCAGGCACTTCTTAAAATCAGACATGACCAGTGCCTGTCTTTACTAATTTCTGTAATTATGATATAACTGATTTACACTTCTCCCAATTTCATTCCTCACTCCCTCAGCTGCACACTGAGGGACATCCCTACCATGGCACCACAAGAAAGGCTGTGCTGATCCCTGATGATTTTATCAGTGCAGAGGTCTGCTCTGATAAAGTTTCTAAACATTTGTCTTGCTAAGCTCCCTGTCTGCACCTTCCAACAACCCTTGGCAGTTGATGGAAATGATCATATGCTGTACTCTGAGTGCAAATCACTCTGGGTGGATTAAAATCTGGAGGTATAAGAAATCAAGGGTTTGTATGGACACCCTCCTGGAGGATGAGAGGATTTTCAGGGAACAGAATCAGTGTAGGAGTATCTCTGATGTCTCACCTGGCCTCTAATTCCAAGTGATTCTGGATTGTGACTTTTACTGACTGGAAAAAGGAGCTCAAAGCCCCAGTGCCAGGGCTGGAAGGGGTGGAGAGCCTGCTTCTCTTCATAATCTCTTTTTGGGGCCCAGCACTGAAAAGTCAGGCTTGGGATGTTTAACCTCAAGTCAAATTTGTGGCTTTTTAGCCACTCCCAGCTCCACATGGGATTTATGGATCCAAATACCTTCCCAATTAGCCCAGGAAATGGAGTGACTGGATGCTGGAAGGCAACTGCACAAAAACACAGTTTACAGAATTGGGGAAATAGGAAAGCTTGGCCTTGCAGTGACACAGTACAAACCAGGCAATATCATCACAGAGAATATAAAATGTTGTGTCCTCTGCCTTCAATCCTGCAGGATTTTAGCACTGATAATAAAGGGAAAGGAATGACAGGAGATATCCTTTCTGGGCAGATCCTTTGAGAAACAGGAGTTATTTGTCCAGTAATTTTGTTCTGTTACCAAGAATATTTAAATATTTTAATAAAAAGAACACCCCATAAATCTATATTCTTATCTAGCACGGAATTTTTTTTCTTTGAAAAAACCTGAAATCTCCTCAGTGATTGATTTCTTTTGTGGTAGGTAGGTATGTTATGCCCTCTTAAAATTAAGGTGTGGTGCAGGAATTTGAATTTATGCTTGTTTTTGAGGAGATGTCAGGCATGACTCCTCAGACTTGCCAACTTTTTGCTGCAGATGGATTTACTGCTGAGTCATGAAAACAGCAGAGCTAAGGATTTCAAAATATGATTTGAAGGATTGTTTTCCCTGGAGATGTGTTTAAAATAGTTTAAAACAGTGCTTAATGTTGAAGGGAAAGGGCTGGTGGAAATTCCTGGCAAATCCTCTCCTAAATTTGCAGATGTGCAAACAGAAACACGATGCAGATCTCAGAGTGATGCTACAATGATACCGGGCAATTTATCTCGGAGCTGCCATCCTACAAAAAGCAGGAATTTCAAAGCACAAAAAGCAGGAATTTCAGCTGGTTTTAGCGAAGCAGCGGTACCTGAATGTGACAATAGATGGAGCTGTCTGCGAGAGAAGTAACCCTCTTTGCCAGCTCATTTTTCCTGCGGCTTTTAAAGCACAGCTTCCACGCTTGGCCTCATTGTCATATTCACGGTGCTGATTTCACCGTGCCACGAAGGGCAGGCTGCAGTGGACTCCACTTTACTTATCAGTGACCCATTTTCTATCTCACCCCACATGAAAATCTGGCAGAGTCAAGCTCCTGACACTTAACAGCAAAGCTGTGAAGTTATTACTGACAGAGACAAGGGTTAGATGGGATATTGGGAAAGAATTCCTCCCTGTGAGAGTGGGCAGGCCCTGGCACAGGGTGCCCAGAGCAGCTGTGGCTGCCCCTGGATCTCTGGAAGTGTCCCAGGCTGGATGGGGCTTGGAGCAGCCTGGGATAGTGGAAGGTGTCCCTGCCCATGGCACAGGGTGGCACTGGATGGGCTTTGAGGTCCTTTCCACCCCAAAACATTCTGGGATTCTATGAATACACATTCATGAATACACAGAATCATGGAGTGGGTCAAATTGCAAGGGACCACAAAGGGTCATCTGGTCCCACCCTCCTGCTCCCAGGCAAAGACTCCCCTCCCTTCTGAGGAAGGTGGGTGCCAACTGATGCCAGCACTCCTGGCACTGCACAAGCCATTGCACTGTCAAAACCCTCAAAATTATGGTGCTGACACCAGCTGGGGAGCCATCTGCTTCTTTCCATATCTCTGCTTTCAACTGCAAGTGTCAGGAGCATGCCCCAGAATCCCTTACTAGATGCTCCAGAACCCTGAAATCATTTGTGATCACCCTCAGACTGTGTGTCACCCTTTCTCTGCCCTCTGCATGGAAGATCAGGTGTGTGGGGTGTGAAAAACTTGGAAGTTTGCTGGTGGCCCCAGAGAGGCAGCAGATTAAACCAGGGTTACAAATACAAGGCCTACATAGAGAACCGTGGCCTACAAAGAGAACCAAGGCCTACAAAGAGAACCCATCTTTCCCGTGAACCAGCTCCATGTGGGGTGTGAAAAACTTGGAAGTTTGCTGGTGACCCCAGAGAAGCAGGAGGCAGGGTTACAAATAAACGGCCTACAAAGAGAACCCATCTTTCCCGTGAACCAGCTCCATGTGGGGTGTGAAAAACGTGGAAGTTTGCTGGTGGCCCCAGAGAGGCAGCAGATTAAACCAGGGTTACAAATACAAGGCGTACAGCCAGAAGCCGTGTTTCCTGTGGAGGCAGCCCTACCGGCACTCGCTGCAGCTCCTTGAGGACGGCAGCCATGGAGTGGCACTCGCACTTCTCCAGGGCCACCATCTCGCCCTTGATCTCCAGGATGCGGCCCATGACGCCGTCCAGCGCCTGCCGCACGGCCGCGCGCTTCTGCTGGTGGATCAGGGGCGCGTGGGCCTCGTCCAGCTTCCGCAGGATGGCCAGGTACTGCACGTAGGCCGTGGCCAGCATCTTCATCGCCTCCTCAGGGTCCTCCTGGGGCTCCTGGAACTCCTCTCTCTCTCTCTGCAGCATGACGTCCAGCTCTTTCTGGGTGTCTGCCCATATCTGGCAGCAAGTGCTGGTTGGGAAGAGGAGAATTTCGTGTCAGCCTGATATGAAAGCAGGAGGAGCGCACAGAGCCAGGGCTCTGAGGGTGTGGATTTCTCACAGAGCAAGCCTGGAAGTGTCAGCCATTACATTCATAAGGAGGTTTTTTGTGGTGGTGTTCACGGGGGCCCCCTGTTTCTCATCTCAGGAAAAGAATCTTGACTCCATGTTTCAGAAGGCTGATTTATTATTTTATGATATATATTGTATTAAAACTATACTAAAAGAATATTAGAAAGGATTTCGTCAGAAGGCTAGAAAAGAAAGGAATGGAATGGTAATAAAATCTTGTGACTGACCAGAGTCCCAACACAGCTGGACTTGTGATTGGTCATCAAGTAGAAACAACTCACATGGACCAACCAAAGATGCACCTGTTGCATTCCACAGCAGCAGATAATTGTTGTTTTTCTTTTCCTCTGAGGCTTCTCAGCTCCTCAGGAGAAAAAATCCTAGCAAAGGATTTTTCAGAAAATATGTCTTTGACAGTTTTTAACTACAAAGCATTTTGAAAACCATTAGCAGAAGTTTCTGGGTTTGTTTTATTAAAACAAGCTTAATACTTTAAAGCTTTCCAACTTCATTCTAAAAGGCTTGCAGCATCCTTCAAGTGCTTGAAGTTACAACCCCCAACAGTGCCAGGAGTTTTATTCAGCTGTGCTAATTGAGAAAATGGTTTAATTGAAAAGGTGTCTCCCTCCAATGCCTTTTAATAGGCATTTTAATAGTCCTTCTCCCTTTTAATATGGGGAAGGACTATTTGAAGCTCTGCAATTTTAGGATCTGGACCAATTCATGTTTCTAGAGCTGTTCTGCCTTTCTGAAGTGGTTGCTTGGCATTAACTGCAGGGTAAGGGTGGGGTTGGTGCAAATGCTGGAGTGAAGCTGGGGGCCCTAGTTCAAATGTGAGGTAAAGAAAATAATTTTATTTATTTCTGTGGTAGCAACTATTGCGCTCCAGGGAATTGCTAAATGTCTGGTCTGATGGCTGTGGGATTATGTGGCGTGGAAGCTGTCACCTCAGGCCATCTCCATATCCAGGAGCAGTAATGCTGCTCACTTGGTAGTTTTGGTAGGAATAGGTGGAGTTCTGAGGTGAGCACGGACTGGCTGTCAGTGGCTTTTTATGGGAAAAGCAGATCAGAATGTCCTGGGGGATGAGCCTAAAAGAGCAAGAAATGAGCCATGAGGTTTTTATTCACAGAAGGGCTCAAGACCTTCCTGCCAAACCAAGCAGGTTTGTCATGGAAGGGTGTTAATAACACCTGTGGCAGAGAAGACACTTTTAGGTCCTGTTCTCCTTTGCCAGATGGAGACTCTTGGCAGTGAAAAGTGTTAAAAAATCCTACATCTTTGAAAATGCCTCTCTAGGAATAGAGCAAGGAAATTCCTTCTATGCTGAGCCATGGTTGTGTTGGGAGAAAATCAGTTCATTCACACTGTCCTGGTGAGGGGAAAACAGTGGCTATGGAAAGAGGGACAGCTGACTTGCTCCTTAATCCCAGGAATGAAGGCTTCAATGGTGCACTCTAGACCCATCCTTGCTGAACCAAGTTGCTGTTCCTAGAGCTTCTCAAAGAGGCATGAGAACAGCAAAAGGCCTGCCATTGTTAGATGAGCTTTGAGAGCAGACCTTGCATTGGGGGAGTGTTGGTTTATTGATCCCGACCAGAAAGCTGGACAGATGTTGTTAGCATTGTTTGTGCATGACAATAAATGCTGGAGCTCTGTGAGCTGATCTTATCATTGCCAGTCCTGGAGGTCAGAGTGACCCAAGGCTTGTGCTGCAAGAGGGATGTGTGGGGTAGGACAGGACAAACTCCAGCCCTGAGTGCCCCGAGTGTGGGGTGCCCTGGGTGGTGACAGGGCTGTGGGACTCCCCCCTGCAGTCAGCAAAAACACCAACAACCAAACCTTGCTATTGAATTTGCACCATTAATGTTTTAGAGGGCGTATTATACACTTCAGCTGACCTGGCTTTCTGCAGGATGCAGCTGGCCTTGCTTTTCCTAATGCTTCTGCAGCCCACCCAGCTCTTTCCCCTTCCCTTTTTTTCCTGCTTCATTTACATCCCACTGCACCACCCGTATCAGTCAATTGCGGCAATTAAGCCAGGTGCAGGAGATAAACAGAACAAACCGGCCGAGGGGAGGAGACGGGGCCGAGCAAGGCCAGCAGGGCTGGAGCCAGGGCACGGAAGGATGTGAGGCACGCGGGTTTTCCAGCGCGGGAGGAAACGGCGTGGTGTCCTGCGTACTTTGTGTGATTTCTCACGGATAGGGCACGGCTTGTCAGCCTCGGAGGAAGCCCAGCCCTGTGGGGTGTCCCCACAGCCATCCCGCTGATTGATGAGCCCTGGGGATGCTGGCGCTGGAGCCTTTCCCGTGCAGGTTGCTCTGTGCACGCAGAAGTGACCGATTTACAATAATCTGCCTTCTCTGAGTGAGGAATGTCAAGTGGTTCCTCCTGCTGAGCCAGCTCATATCCAGTTTCTTTTTACATTGGGAATGGCTGCTGGAGGGAGGAGAGGAGGGGGCTGCAGGACGTTTCCATGAGGCACTGCAGATAGGACATAATTGCTTCCATAAAGCATTAGTTTATCAGATAAGCACAGGGATGATTGCAGGCACGGTTGCTGGGGGTCAGATGTTAAGACTATGGATATTATGGGATGATTGTGGCTTTTGCAACATGAGGGCAAAAGAAAGGATGGGCCCACTGGAAAATGAAGGGCTGAAGGAGAAGGTGGATGTGAAAGTGGTAAATTTGTAGCTGATAACCCTAATTACCTGCTGTGTTCGGGGTCACTGCCACCTTTGGGACCCCCAACTTGACCCCCAAGTTTCTTAGGCATGGGATGGGTAGAGGCCAAGCAGAAATCTGATTTGAGTGTTATACTGCTTCACCCTGGTTAAAAACTAGAGGACACATCCCCAAAATGGGATTAAAATGGTTATCCCAGGTCCAAATGAGAGCCCTTCTGGCCTAGTCTGAAGGGTGAGCTGTGCCTGGTGTTTAGAGCTCCTTTTGGGGCACTTGGCAGAGCTGCTGTGAAGCAGAGGAGCCTTTCAGCTTTAGAGACAAACGTGCTCAGGGGTAGTCAGGAGGAATAACTTCAAGGTCATGCCTTAAAAGCAAAGGAGAGCACTGCCTCTCCTTGCCTGTGAATCAGACACCGTGTGATCCCCAAGTCCCTGTTGGAATTTTTGCCTATTTGCTCAGTGCCCCTTTGCATTAAATTGTGAACTGCCTCAAAATTGCTTCCACACGCTGCAGGGGGAGGACAATGTAGCATTGAATGCACTGGGCTTTTATTTACTGTGACTGGTCCACCTTGTAGGCTCTGTTCTGTCCTGAGCTGTGTCTGTGCCCAAGGATATTCCACCAGATTTAGGTTGGATTAGAGCCTCTAGCTCACCTATTAGTGCAGGTAATGAGCCTAACTTTCTTATTCAAGGCTTAAGAAAATAAAATCCTGGGAAAGAAAGCTGTCTCCTGATCTCTCTGTGCATACAGCACTGTAAGTAATGCTACAAATTGTCATAGCAACTCCCAAATAGGGGTGTTATGGGGGAAATAAGCAATGCTGTAATGGGATGAGGAAGAAGCACATCAAGTGACTGAACTCCAGAGTCCCCAGAGTGATTTCTGGCAGCTCACAGCTTGGAGGGAAGGTCAGAGCTTTAACTCCTCACTGATGTCCTTTCTCTTCCCTCCCACAGAGTAGAAACAGAGACTAAAACATGGGTTTGAGAATTTCTTTTGCCCGTAGCCCGATTGCCAGTTCAAATCTCACTTTTATTGCTCAAAATAAAACCTGCTCTCCTTATGTAGAGTGAAGCTTAACAACACAGGCTTTTTCTCCTGCTGAAGTTACAAAGAGATGTTTAAAATCCTGCCAAATTGTGCATGCCTTGTTTTAGTATTGTAGGGCCCTCCAAGTCTGCATGTTTGCTTGCCCCATCTCTCCCAACACTTGGAAAAGCCTGTTGGATTGCAGTCCAGCTGAGGTGAGCCTGCTCACTGGTGCTGGGCTGGTTTTAAGGCTGAAGCATGCCCCTCTTGGAAGGGTTTGTGCTGAGCATGCAAGCTGTCCCTCAGGCCGCTCCTGAGCCAGGGCAGCAATCTGCCATCAGTGGGGTCACCTTTGTGTGCCTTTTCTTCTTCCCCCCAGAGCGTCTCCGGGTTTCACTCCCTGCCAAAGGGAACACTGCCCCTGTTATTCCAGGACATGGCACAGCTTGTCTCTGGATTTGTGCTTGGGCTGACGCCTGGCTTCTTTGCTGCCTGGTTTTTCTGGGCTGCCCTCAGCAATATCTCCTGCTTTCCCATGCTAAAGCTGAAACAGTGAAGTGTGCCTGGGTCTCCCTGGTTTATCCTGATGGATGGAAGGAGGTGGAAGGGAAAACATTTGACTCTGACTCCAGCTTTCCTCACCTCGTTTGGGAACTCCTGCGTGATTAAAGGAACTCTAAATTGTGTGTGTTAAACCGCTGCTGAAGGAACCTCTGCTGCCACTGCAAAGCCACCTTGTATTTCTTTCTCAGCAATGGGGCTGGAGAAAGTGCCCCAGGGCTTGTGACAGCTCCAGGGATGGGGAGCAGGGCTCGGGGAGCCTGGCACAGGACACACAGGCAGCAGGGACAGAGATGCAGGGCTGGTGACAAGGAAGTGCACGCAGGGGCCACAGCTCGGGGTCCCCTGGCCACACTGGGAGCCTGACAGGTCAGGCATTGTGCTGAGCCCTGGGCAAACACGGGGGAGGGAAACCCTGCCCTGCAGCCTCGGGAAAATAAAGAAACAAGAGACAAAGGTTGGGAGGGGAAAGTGAGGCCCTGAGAGGAAAAAGGGTTTTTTATGCTGCTGCTGCTTTTTTTTCTTCTCTTTTTCTAAAAATCACCAGGCTTAGGGTGATGCTGGCTGATCCAGGTCAGCAGTTACCTGTTCCCTCACAGGTGTTGTGGGGTTACA